AAAGGCTTGTCAGTCTCCATTTTACAGCCGGCACATACTTCTCCTCTTGATGGAACTACAAAATCACCAGGTCCAGTCCACAAAACCTTTCCCTCGGGCTTGTCGTGGAGAGTCTCTGTCTCTTGCTTCTGAGTCAGATGGATTGCAGAGTGTTTGCTCTGGATTCTCAAAACATGTGCAGCAATGGATCCTTCAGTATCATGGCTGAGAGCCGCAAGACGTTTGAAGAAACTGGCATTAGTACCAATAATGACTGGCAACTGAGAAGGACCTTGAGGTTCACTGTCAAACACAATTGTCACTTGTGAGCCGCTGTCTAACAGTGCTTGACATGTACGCCCATTAAGCTTCACTTCCACAGTTGATGCCGGTCCTACTAGACCTTTGGGAAGGCTGTTGGAGTCATGGAGGTCTGTCTGGCTCTTTCTAGAGAAATAGGCTTGATTCTGTGGCTTTTGATTGTCATCCGTCTCGGGCCTCCCACTCTTGGCCTGCTGCAAAGAACGTATGAGCTTCTGAATTACTTGATCTGGATTTGGTGGAGCTTGACACTTTGTCGCGATATGACCGTCCTGCCCACACCGGTAGCAGAAGTAGTCATCTTTCGTTCTGGCTGACTTGTATCTCAATAACGGGGAAGCTGACTGTGATGGTTTTGGCTGCTGCTCGGGAACATCATCTGAGCACTGAGAAGAACTGACATTTAAAACGGCCAACTGCTGTTGTAGGTTTCCTTAATTCTTGAACTTCTGAATCATCAGGTTTTTCTGGACTTCTTGGGCTTTTCTTTAGGTTTAACCACCAAGGAGGAAGTAGACACAGATTTGGCCGCAACCCCACATATCTGGGTTCGCAATTCTTGAATCTCAGTCTGAAGTTCGTGGATGACAGAGGGGTTGGCTCTTTCCTCCTCATGATATTGTATGGCTTTGGCTTTAGCTGACATTCTGTGATGGGATGCTTCACTCTCCTCCGCCTCACGTATGTCCTTCAGCAGACTCAGGAAAGAAGGTGGGCATCTTTTCTCTCTCGTAGTCTTAACTGAAGCAACATCAGGTCAGAATTCACTGCACCTCGAATTAGCTGTTCAACTCGTACTTTATCCACCATTCGAGGAGACAGGTCACCTCGTTCTACTACTTTGTTAAGAGCCTTATCAATCCTCCTCAGGAATTTAGACAGAGCCTCACCTGCGTTTTGGCGCATAAGATGAAACTTGAAGTATAAGTCCTCACCAGACTCTGTTGATCCAAATGTACTCTCCAATGCTTCCAAATACTGCAAAGCACTCGCCTCGGGGTTGGAGAAACGGACAGCTCTTATGATTTCTAATGCAGGTCCTTTAAGGCTCTCCACAATTCTGCGTCGTTTTTCTTTTTCAGAACAGTCGCACTCGGTTATCATTAGCCTGGCTTGATTGATTTGATTTTCCATACTCTCCTCTCCTATGGGGGTGGGAACTACAGCTGAAAACGTGCACAGGCATCGGTAGGCATTGCTATCACTCTGCGGCTTTACAGTCTTTTCCAGGACCTCACCCATGGCACGTATAATTGACTCAGGGGAACTATCGATAGCAATGCGTGGAGTACACAAAGCTTGTACATCGCTGAGAGACTTTCCTTCTTCCATCAGGAACTTTGCAAGCTTTTCAGTGAATCCTCCAGTAGCTGTGTCAAATGCAGGTTCTCTTGTTTGGTTCACTATGACTGACCAGGGCTCTTTCTTTTCTCCCCTTGCCACTTCAGGAGGTATGCGCTTAGGGTCAATGGTTTGTCTGCACTCACACAACACCATCATAGAATGCGAGGTAAATCCTTCTCTTGTGTCTCTCACATGAACTCTTCCTAGAACTTTCACGGCTTCCATTACCTCCTCAATCTCAGCCACTTCTGTTGTGAGTAGGCACATTTAACAGCATTAAAGCATGAGTCTCATCAATGCCAGCCTCGTTGCACCAGCTAGTTAACTCTTCTTGTAGACAGGGGTCTTTTCTTAGAGTCATTATGTCACTTTAGGCACTTCTCAGTCACTTATAATGAAAGGACAGAATATACTTGAGCTTAACTTTTTTTCATTCTTCTTTCAGGAAATCATCAGTGACTTATTAGAGGGAGATCCCGGACGAGCCCCCACTTTATGTAGTGCCTCCTACGTGTTATTATAATTTTAGGATAGCGCACCAGGTTCAATAAACTAAATGCCTACAGCAATGTTGTAGTTAGGCCCCTCTGATGTCACAAAATGAAGTATTTCTCTCTAGAAAGTTACTTAGAATTTAGAACTATACTATATAATATATTTAAATTGTCAAAACCAACTTTTTTTTAAATAATAAAACTCTTAAATAAGTGACAAAATATAAAGAATTTAATTAGAATAGATTTAGAAGTCAAACAGCTCAAGGAAGTCGATTTCAGAATATGAGGTATTCACACACTTACATGTGCTGATTATGACACATTTTAGCCCAAAAAAGGCAATATCTCAGATGACAGAGTTACTGAATTGATCTCCATATCAAAAACACTCAGAATGAATTGAACAAATTAACTCACATGGAACGAAATGTACTAACTTACTCACTTTGAGAATCAGAATATCACTTTGAATATTCACAGTATTTTAAGCGCGTTGAATAACACAATATGAACCAATGTTAAACACTTGTGGGCCCACTCACACATAAACCGGTCATTAAAACCCACCCGTTGTAGGCCTGGATCATAGCTCGTGTTTGTGGTGGCCAGAGAAACTGAAAATTGGCCCCTTCACTCTCCTGAGCACAAATAAATCAACATTAATAACTCAATTTCGTGTGCGATGAAAACCGCGATTGGGATCTTGTGTTAGGCCTCCCGCAGCTCCTCGGTCTCTCTCTCATTCGTCAGCCGACGAAACGCACCTCCCACGTAGCCAGAGGAACCCCAAATAATGCGGGTACTTTGGGCGCTATCTGGTCCTCAAGGTCTCCATCATCGTGCAGGAAACAACTAATTTTTCAATCTTTCAATCTCTCACTGTTTTTTTCATCTGCCCCATATTCCCCTCCGCTGACTTGTCAATCAACCTTCTCAACAACCAATCACACAACACACCAACTAATTGAGGGCGGGACTTAACACTCAAAAAACCAATAGAAATAAAGGAAACCTAACTTGCTCGTTAATACCACACAATGAAACTGCACTGACTGCATCATTTATTAATATTATTCAATAAGGTCAAAGACAGTAGAGCATTTTGTACTGTGTACACGCATACATTTTAAATGAATTTAATATATATATATATATATATATATATTAGTACACTGATGATATAATAGTAATAGGACTCTAATATTTTATTAGCTAGTGGAAATTGGTTATTTTTGCATTTTTCTTAATTTCATTCTTCTGGTTTGAAAAGCAAAGGTGAAGCAATGTCACAAAATATCAAGTATATGCATTAATTCTAAGTGGTGGTTGGCTCCTGTTACTGGAGAGTACGCGTCTGCGGTGGTTTCTCTGCATTTATTCATTGGAAAGAGCTCATTCAATCCAATCACCGTGCACTATTATGAATGAATAATAACTGCATTATTATGCACGAGAAAGTATCACTTCTGACTCTTCTGTCTCCCCTCATTGTCGGAAATGTTCGTTTCCTAAGTGCGACAACCCAAAAGTGTTGCTTGCGTTTCCAAGGCCCTGTCCTAAATGGCACACTTCATGTGCAATTGCGGTCTTGCGATCAAGACCGTAGGGTGTCCCATTCGTCATTTTAGCTTTCAGAAGGGTGCTCGTGAGCGCCCCCTTTGTGCCCACTATGCACCCTCGATGAACCAGTTACTATCAGATTGTAAATAAAATGTTTAAAATGCTGCTCTCTGCATCGCTCTCCACCTCACTAGTGTGAAGCTACTGAGCTATGCTTTGATACAACCTCCCAGCCTTTCCCTCTTTTTTTTTTATCAAAATTTGCTTTTTTACCTTGGACTGTGTAATATAATTTCAACTTCAATTTCAATATCTTTAACAGCAATCGAGATGTATTTTAACAGCAATCAAGATGTTTTTAACATTTCAAAACACATTCTCATGTTAGCAGACAGATTACGCTTTCACATGTGACCAACAATTCCACAACAAATATAAAATATCATAATGAAATATTATCAAAATATTCAACTGACGGAGGTGACAGAACTGACGGAGTTGATACATCTGACGGTGGTGACGAAAACCTGAATTTGTAGTCATTTTAATCAAATACACTGAAACAACCAATTACTGTATTAAAACAAACAACAAACAGTGAGTATGTTATTGTTTATAAAGCTTTTATTCAAGAGTCACATTTAAGTATTTTGATATATCATTGGAACACAAAATCGTATCCCTTTAACTTTCACCCCGAAAAGGAGCTAATGAAAAAATTATATAACTTAAAATTCTTATTAGTAGACATCTAATAAATAGCCCCAAGCACTTTTTTTTTTAAATGTATGTTTTATATAAAACTCTACCGTACGGTTGAGCTGTCAGTCCATGGTAAATCTTGATTTAAATTCAGATAACTATTTCTATTAGTTATTTTGCAATAATAAACATTCCTTTAACTTTATTAGTGTCTTGGATACATTTCATAACCTTCAGGGTCCACAAAGATAAAAAATTATATTGAAGCATCTCTATAATATATATATATAGACGTATGGCAATATATATGTTATATTATGTCCTTTACAGACATATCAACCGTACGGTCACGCATGATTTTGTATAATTATGGTAAATAAAAATTTTTGCATTTCTCATATATTTTGCTATATTTCTGTTCTTTGACCTCTACCCTATTCACAACAACATTATGGTTTCATCCCTACTTCCTTTTTTGCTTGTTTGACCCTATTATCTGATGACTGACCAGCACCGTTCTCCCTTCTGTGTGACTGACTGAAGTTTGTAAACTGCTGCTGTCACTTGAAAACTGGAAACTCCCAAACCCCCGTGACAACAGCAGACACAGAGATGGGGCAATAAACTGTGGAAAGATTGCGCTCTCATCTCTTCCTTTTGATAGATTTATTTCCTATAAAATTAAGCTCAACCGTACGGTAGAGATATCAGTTAAAGGGTTATGGTGGTGACATCTGACGGTGTTGACAAATTTGGCATTTCTTTCACAAAACAAATGGAGTTCATGTTTTGGTTTTTTTTTCTCTGTTGATGCTAGATGCTAATAGAACCTGCTTCAGGAGAAGAAAATAATCTAAATATTTCAAATAATTTGCTCAGAAATTGGAAGATGGGGTTGACATATCATGGTTGTGACACAGGAAATATTAACATTAGGATTTTAAATGTTCTAAAACTATCTAAATGACCAGAGTCTGTCTGACACTGATGTACTCTGCAGAGGTGAATGTGGCAAGGGGTTCGTTTAGTGACAGCTGCCCCTGATATTCCCTGATTTTATTACATTTTAATGAATGTCTGACGGTGTTGACAAAAAAAGTGGGTACACAACTCTGAAACCTTATGAAACATGCATGTGTCACTGAAAAACAACCTTGCTTTGATATGATATATAATTAAGGGTTGCTTTTGATAAAAACAAGCTCTTTTTCATCATTAAAAAACATTTGTATCCATTTTATAGCATATGAATGATTGAACCCTTAGATGCAGTGAGAAGACAATACGTGTCACAGATTTCACATAATAATGATACAATTAAATTGAAGGGGATCATTGTGTTAAATACATTCGATTATTAATCCCCCATAACATTTACAATTGAAAATATTTTTATTTTTAAACCTAATAGCAGTTACAATTGCTGGACATGTTTTGATCCATGAGCTGTATTTATGCGTTTAATGCATAGACTGTATCTCCCCTTTTTATACAATCCCTTCCCTAATTCCTCTTTCTTACCCTCCCACCTTATCACAGCTGACACAGACCCTTTTTGGAACCCTTTTCAAATCCGAGGTGTGTGTGAAAAAACACTGCTGATGTAATTTTTGGGTGAACTGCTAGTTGATGTGTGGATAATTGCCTTTTTTTTCCCAGCTCAGTCCTTGTTATTCGAAGCAATTGGTTCATAGGGAACATCCCTGACACCAAATGCGACAGTACACAGTGATGACAAAT